TGTTTTTTTCAGTTAATTAATCTATAAATTACCAGAACATGTGAAATACTTGATATTCAGTTCACAGTGATACAGATACAATCCTCAGACTCCTACTTCTTTTACTCCTTAGTTACAATCTGCAGTGGTTTTAACTCAATATGCTTAAAGAGTAAACATTTGAACGAGCAGTTGTAGGACTCCTGCTCTTACTGCAGCCTGAGGGGACGTGGAGGGACGTGAAGGGACGTGAAGGGACGTGGAGGGACGTGAAGGGACGTGGAGGGACGTAAAGGGGGATGGTGCGACGTAGCTAACAGAGACCGCTCCCGTGCTCTGAGCCACTTCACCCAAACCACGTCCTGCTGGACTTTAACTGATGATTTCATTTTGATTTGAATAGATTCAGCTTCACTTGTTGCTGCGACACACATGGGGGGGGGGACTCAGTGCTGATCATGGTTCAGATTTAAAAACAAGAGAACAACATTAGATGCATCCATGTTTCATTGATATGTAAAGATCCACAGTTCACATCTGTCTGTGGACACTGGACAGTGTGTATTGGTTATATGTACTTTGAAAACACTTTGAAAATACTTTGTTTACGTGGTAGTAAACGTTGGCTGCAGGATGTTTCTTTAGCTGCATTGCTGGTTGGACCTGCTCATCCTCGCTAATCATTAGAACGATGATTGTATCTCTGTGTTCCAGCTGCTCTGGTTGTCGCTGGTCACGGTGGCTGCACTGGGAGGACAGGCGATGGGGTTCAGGGTTGTCCTCGGGGTTCAGGGGCGCCGTCACATCCGGGTAACGCTGCCGTTGCTGCTCTGCGTCGCCATGATGGCGGCAGTTTGGGCGGAAGGTCAAGACTACTACAATCTGCTGGGAGTCAGCAGGGAGGCGACGACCAGAGAGATACGACAGGCCTTCAAGAAGCTGGCGCTCACCATGCACCCCGACAAAAACCCCGTGAGTTACTCTGAGAAACGCTGAACCTGTCGACACATTTCAACTGTGACTAACAACACCCAGATCCAAGCGTCAGTGTTCAGACTCTAAACCCTGATGAAACTGTCGTGCTGCAGGGCGACTCCTCGGCCCACGAGAAGTTCCTGCAGGTGAATCGAGCTTATGAGGTTCTGAAGGACGAAGACCTCCGGAAGAAGTACGACAAATATGGAGAAAAGGGATTGGACGAGCAGCAGGGAGGACGCTACGAGAGCTGGAACTTCTACCGCTATGACTTTGGTACGTCTCCACAGTAAGAGCGCTCACATGTCATTTCACTGAGAGTTGTTTAATGGGTCATGTCTCTGTTCAGGTATCTATGACGATGATTTGGAGATCATCACGTTGGACAGCGGAGATTTCGGTGAGTGGGACTTTTATCAACTTTGACGCAGTCTGAACGACGCTCAGTCAAACCGATCTTCATCGGTAGTAACCGCTGTTTGTGGCGTTTCAGAGGCGGCAGTGAACTCCGGAGAAATCTGGTTCATCAACTTCTATTTCCCACGATGCTCCCACTGTCACCAGCTGGCTCCAACGGTAACCACACGATGAACCCGCTCACGTCGAACCTTTCACTTTAACCTCATATATCATTTTCGATTGTAGCCAAGTGTAAATCCCACGTGTCTGTGTCTCAGTGGAGGGAGTTTGCCAAAGAGATGGACGCAGTGATCAGGATCGGAGCAGTAAACTGTGGAGACAACAACCACCTCTGCCGGAGGAAAGGGATCAACAATTACCCGAGTCTGTTCATATACAGATCAGGACAGGTCGGTTCACAGACGCACATCGTTTCACCACTAATCAGCTGATGAAGTGAGCGTGAGGCTGCGTTCAGGAGTCACATGTTGATATGTGACGTTGAGCTGCTGCGTTCACACTGAGTACACTCTCGTATTGTCTGTTGTGTTCATGTCGTAAATCTGATTAATGTGAAGTCTGTTAGCTTAGCATCAGAGCCGTCCTCTCCAGTCAACACTCTTGTTTCTTTTTCTACAGAAACCAGAGAAGTTTAACGGGGAGCGTTCTAAAGACGAGCTGGTCCGCTTCTCCATGCAGTTCATCACAACAACCGTCACCCAGCTCTGGCAAAGTGAGCGACTCCCAACTGTTTACATTTTAATTGAGTTAATGACTCATTAGTGAATATCAGGGCTCGTTTATTTGACCTGTGAGTGCGGCTCCTTGTTTTATAGGTAACGTGTTCAGCGAGATCGAGAGTGCGTTCTCGTCCGGGCTCGGCTGGCTCATCACCTTCTGCTCCGACACTGGAGGTAACACGTTCTCTTTCAACGCCTGGAAGTGTTCTCACATGTTGCACGTGTGTGTCACGTGTGTGTCACATGTGTGTCACATGTGTGTCACATGTGTGTCACATGTGTGTCACATGTGTGTCACATGTGTGTAACATGGGACGCACAAAGACATGTTGCTTAGTAACAGAAACTCCTCTGAAGGAGGAGCAGTGATGGTGAAAAGTCAGAGCAGGGATTTCTTTTCTCTGAGCGATGACGAGGTGGAACTGTTGCTGACAGGAAGTGTTACTGCTGAGAACCAATCACAAGAGAACGTGGGCGTCACCGTTTACTAAAGTCTCAGTTGGTGTTCGGACTAAAACACAAAACCAGAGTTTTCAAAATAAATGTTTCCTTTCCTCCGTCTCAGATTGTCTGGAGCCGAGAACAACACAGAAGTTGGCAGGAATGTTGGTGAGAATTCAGAATTACTGTTTGAGTTAAAAGTTCTGTAAATGTTTAATATATTGTAAACAATGACACGTTACACCTGCATGTGTCACATGACTATGAAAGACTAGTTTGATAAAATGTTATATTAACTTTGTGAACGTCTGAACGCAGGACGGTCTGGTGAAGGTGGGATGGATGGACTGCATCACAGAGGAACAGCTCTGTCACAGTTTCCAGGTAAACTTTATACTGCAGTACTACTGATACTAGTATTGAATAATGTGTACACGTGATTCTTCATGGGAAAAAAATCTTTCACCACCATGAAGGAGATACATCGAGGTATCATCTGCAAATCAAACACCACACAACGTCATCTGTTCTGGAAACTTTTATACTCAGCAGCAGAAACACATTTTAACTCTAGCAATAACAAATAATCAATAATTATAATATTGCGTCATATGCTAGTATTTATATTTATTCCCTCTCTGCTGTCTGTCAGGTGACCGGCGGAGCGACGGCTTTATTCCCTCCTGGTTCATCTCTGGATCAACAAGACAGCGTGCTGGTGAGTGACAGAACACATTACTTCCTGTGTGGACAACATAGTATTGTATGTAGTAATACTGTGTGTAGTACTGCAGTAGTGACTCAGTGTGTTCATGTTTCAGTGGCTGAATACTCTGGACAGCAAAGAGGTTTACACTCAGGTCATGAACCATCTGCCCGATCTGGAACTGCTGACGAGCGACAGCTTCCAGGTACACAACGCTAACGTTACACACCGCTACACAACGCTAACGTTACACAACGCTACACAACGCTACACAACACTACACAACACTACACACGTATCACTCACCACAGGTTACCATGACAGCACATGATGGCAGGTTGTAGCCTGTGATGATGTGTAACTTCCTGTTTCCAGAGCAAACTGGCCCGTCATCGCTGGTTGATCAGTTTTACGTTTGGGGACAGAAGCTCCACCTCCAGCGAGTACAAGAAGCTCCAAGCTTACCTCAAGAATGACCACATACAGGTACCTGTCTGTCCGTCCGTCACTGCGTCCGCCTGTCTCTCTGTCTGACCCTGTCTGTGTCCTCAGGTCGGCAGAGTTAACTGCATCACAGACTCGGAGCTGTGTCAGTCGCTCTACATCCATAAACCCTGCGTGGCTGTTTTCAAAGGACTGGGAATCCACAACTTCGAGATCCACCACGGTCAGTACCACAGACCAGTCCACGGTCCGAACCACTGACTGAACCACTGACCGAACCACTGACCGAACCACAGACTGAACCACTGACCGAACCACGGACCGAACCACGGACCGAACCAC